ACACACACACACACACACACACACACACACACACACACACACACACAATCATTAGATGACAGGATTCCTTGCTTTTAGAAGGCAGCTACTGTGTAGTGGACAAAATAACTGTATTTGGAACCAGGGTTTAAAGCCTGGTTTTGAGTCCTGGCTCTGTCACTTACTAGCAGTGTGACTTTGGGCTTTTTCTCATCTTGTCTCACCTTGCCTCACCTCTCTGCTCTTTACCTGTAACATGCTTATGCTGCCTCCTTCACAAGTGTCTCATGAGAATAAAATGAAATTATGTAAAACACCGTGCAACGTGATGACTAAATGTCAGTAGCTATCCTCCTCATTATCCTTAATATTCTTTCTTGTCAAATTCTCAGTCTGTTCTTCTTAAGGTTGACTTGAGCCGTACCAACTTGTTGTTCATTGTTCTTCCAGTTTGAGCTTCTCAAACATCAGAAGCTGAAGGATCAGAACATCTTTGTCTCCAAGACTCGGCTGTGTCTCCACAATCTTCCGAAGGCAGTGGATGACAAACAGCTCAGGAAGTTGGTGCTGACTGCAGCCGGAGGTGGAAGGGCTGTGCGCCTGAAGGAGGTAAGAGGGTACTCCTTTTCTCCCTTTTTTCTTCTTTTCCTTTCCTTTTAAAGTATCCCTTTGGCATTTGTCCACATTCAAAGGTGTGGGGGGGGGGGGTCTGTGCCAACATCTATTGGTTAAGCATCGTGTGCTATGATGAAAGCAGGGTTTGGGGTTCGGTTCCAGCATTGGCGAAGTAGCTTTCCTCTTTCTTTGGTTTCAGACTACATTCCTAACCCTAGCCATTGTTTTGTAAATGAGTGCTGTTGGTCACAAGAGAGGCTTGCTAGGAAGGGGTAGCTAAATCCATCACCACAAATTTATTTCATTATTCTCAACGACTAATATTACTGACTGTCTGCCAGATATAAAGGATAGCATGTGGTTATGATTAATGCATTTTTAATTGGGTAGTATTGAGATAATAACAGTGAATGTTTATATAATGATTTCAGGTTTACAAAGCACTTTACAAACATCTCATTTGTTCCTTGTAACAACTTGGTTTTTGGTTTTACCTGTAATTTCACTAGTTGCAGGGAATTTCTTCTTGTGTGGAAACTACCTCCACAGATCCAGATCGGCAACCCCTTTGTAGCTTAGAATCTTAGAGAATTTGCTGGAACCACTGAAAATTTACCTGACTGGTCCCTAGCCACAAATTAATATTGTGAAAGCCAGTATTGGGACTCCAAATTCAGTACTCTTTCCTATTGGCATATTATTGTTTATACTGTTATTTAATTGTTTTTTGTAAATCTTGCCTCTTCATCAAGATTGTAAGATCCTTGAAGTCAGTGACCATACCTTGGACTTCAAGCCTGCAACAGAGCTTTGCACGATGTTAGGCACATAGGTCCTCAGCAAATAGTTGCATACTGAATTCAGCATATTAGTGTCCTGAGGTCTTAGTCCTTGCCATTATTTGGCTATTCCTTAGTATTATTTGCATACTGTTATCCAAAAAACTAAGAATAACTTAAGAAATTTTGAAGAGGAAAAAAAACAAACTGAACTCTTTGCCATATTGAGTCTTCTCTCCATTTTTCTGTATTTATGCTCTTCATGTTCTTCCTATACCTGGAATGCCCTTCCTGTTCAAATCCAGTGGACAACACTCCTTCCCTTCTTCAGAAAGGTCTTTAAGGGAAAGAGAGATGTGGACATAATACAAATCCTGTAGCTTTCTCCACCTTCAAACACATAAATACTGGAGTTGACCAAGCTTATATGCACTTTAATATTTCAGCAATCTGTAATTTCATCAGTGTAGATGCTCTTTCTTCTAATGCAGATTGCTATCACTCTTTTAATTTAATAGATGATATTTAAGAATTGGCTCTGGCCAGAAAAATTAATCATCCTTTCATCAGCATGGTGATGAGCTGGCTACCTTTGGTGTTATCAGCTCTGTTCTTGTTGAACGCTTTCCTACCTAAGAGAACCGAGAGAATTTGTACTCTCTTAATGTAGTATTTGAAAAACCAAGTTCACCTGTGAGCCAAGATAAAGCTCTAGTGAAATAAATGATGACATACTATTGAATTGTTGTTAAGTCATGTCTGACTCTTCATGACCTTGTGGACCATGACAGCCAATACTGTCCATGGGGTTTTCTTGGCAAAGATACTGGAGTGGTTTGCCATTTCCTTCTCCAGTGGGTTAAGGCAAACAGAGGTTAAGTGACTTGCCCAGGGTCACACAGCTAGTGAGTATCTGAGGCTAGATTTGAACTCAAGTCTTCCTGAATCTAGGTCCAGTGTTCTGTCCACTGAGCCAGTTAGCTATTGACAGCTTATTTGTTTTTGTACTTAATTATCTTACCTTTCCTTTTGTATATAAATTTGATTTTCATATTGATGTATATTTATAGGATATGCCTTCCTAGAGGTAAGGGAACTATATTTGTTTAACTCATTCTGTGTGTACCCAGCCAAGTGCTGTGTTAGGTTGATGTCGACCCAGATGAGGATTGTTTTCCTGTTTTAAGTTGCCAGAGAACTTAGTATTGTAATAGCCATCCGTGTCAAAAACCTGTTTGAGGACAGGGAAGATGTCTTTCTCTCTGTCAAATCACCGTTGTTCTTTCCCTTGATTACCCTCAGTGTCGAGTGATGCGTGACCTTAAAGGTGCACATGGGAATGTGAAGGGTCAGTCCTTGGGTTACGCTTTTGTGGAGTTTGAAGAGCATGAGCACGCACTGGCAGCCCTTCGTCATATCAACAACAACCCCGAGATCTTTGGCCCTCAGAAGGTGAGAGGCATCCTGTGGAGAGACGTGCATTGCCCAGGCTGGGTCTCTTGGTGTCCATTTTCCCCTTGTATTAGAATACAGGGATGGGAATAGTTAAGGACATGAAATCAACAAGTTGCTTGTAGAAAGCTTACCACTGTGTGAAGGAAGTAAACAGCAGAGCCTGGCTTGTACTGCATGATATGACCCACTGTACCCACAAGTTAAGACATTTGATGAAAGCTTTTCTCTCTTTCTCTTATACAGAGACCAATAGTAGAGTTCTCTTTGGAAGATCGAAGGAAACTAAAGATGAAGGAATTGAGGGCCCAGCGAAACCTGGTATAGACCTTGTTTTTGTAGCTATTTAAAGTGCCCTGTGTTGTTTGTTTTGCCAAGTCCTAGAGCTCAGGTCTCTGTTACTTCAGAGCTTTTCATATTCTTAACTCTTAATTATTTGAAGACTATGAATTTATAGAATTTTCAGACCCTTTTTCCTCATGCTCTTTAATCCCTTGATCATTTTACTTTTACCTCTTGCTAGGTATACCGTACTAGAAGGAGGGCAGGGGACAGGAGAGGAGAAACTCAAGATTAATATTATTACTGGTTAAACTTTTGGTCAAGATAGATGCCAAAGCTAAGATTAAGAATTTTATATTAAATGTTATCTCTCTATTCTCTGGATTTTCACTGCCTTTCGGTTTACTGTGCAATGTAGTTTTATCATATATTTCTAAAATGTAGATGTATGTATGCATATTTATACACATGGACATTATTGTTCTTATTTTAGCTTTCACATTTATGGCTATTTTTTATCATATTAACTTGCCTATTCAGCATACTTTTGGGGTACAGATCATTTACATGTGAAATCTAAATAGGACAGTAGGCCTGGAATGGAAAACCCAGGAGTGTAAATTTAAGTGTTGTTCTAGGACTATTTTGATGTCCTATAAAAAGTAAATGTGCGATTATTGTCTAAAAATATTATTGTGTTACTGCTTTGGAAGCAGTTCTAAAGTTTCTTGGTTTTAGATCCTGGGTATTTTCTTTCTTCTTTATCTTTATTAGAGGTGGAGAGACTGAATATCCTCTCTTCTGACTCTTTGTGACAACTATGGTACATGTCAAATACCCATTATTGTTTTCTTCTTAATCTCCATAGGTTTGGGGAAACCAAAGTATATTGTTTTTTCTTTCTTCTGCTTCTGCCCACTTCACATAAAACCTATATTCTGCTGAGAATACTGGCTCTGCTGAGCCAAGTTTCGTAGAGAAACCAGGTGGGGAACTCACTGTGAACTCTTGGTTTATGCAGCAGAAAATGAAATCGAAGTCTGTAGCTGATGGACCCTCAAAAGCCCAGCAGCAAGAGCCTGGGAAGTTCCAGAAGCGTAAGGCTGCTCAGAGTCATACACAGGGCCCAAGCAAGCTTCTTCTGAAACCAAAGGGGACTCCAGGTTCATGGGCAGGATTCCAGACCAAGGCAGAAGTGGAGCATGTGGAACTGCCAGATGGGAAGAAGCGGAGAAAAGTCTTGATGCTCCCCTCACATCGAGGCCCAAAAATCAGGTGGGAGGAAGCTTAGGGCAGCAGTGGGTGGGTGGGAGGGGAGAAGGATGCTTCTAAGCCAGGCCTGGTTTTACAGAGGTTTACTCCAAAGTCAGGAGTTAGCTGTTGTCCTCTTTGTGGACAGATGACTGGGACATTCAGTGATGTGTTAGCTTGTTTGGGATGCAGCTAGGTGGAGCGGTGAATAGAGTGCTGGATCTGGAGTTAGGAAGACATTTTCATGAGTTCAAATCTGGCCCCAAACACTTACTAGCTATGTCACCCCGGGCAAGTCACTTAACTCTGTTGGCTTCAGTTTCTTCATCTGTAAAATGAGCTGGAGAAGGAAATGGTAAACTACTCCAGGATCTCTGCCAAGAAAACCCCAAATGGGGTCACAAAGAGTTGGACGTTACCGAAAAACAACTGAACAACTACATCTCATTTGGAGAGACTACTCAAAGAACCCATCTTTGCAGTAGTATACATGCCATTGTTAGACTTTGTTAGGAGGAAGTGCATGTAGGCGTGTGACCTTTGATTTGGGGATCCTTTGAGGGCAGGGCTTCATATATTTCCTGTCTGGTTCATGACAGTGTAGAGAAGCCCCATAGAACATTATTGACAAACATCTTACTTTCTAAATGGGGCCTTAGTATTTGCTGAGATTTGTCTAATTGGGTTTTCTCTTCGGTTAGTGAAGGACATTTGAAGATAATTTTAAGGATGTTTTCTGTAGTACATGATACCATGGATACCACGCAGTGCTGTGTCTTATCCATGTACAATAGGTGCTCAGTAAGTATTTGTTGAATGAATGAACACATATGAACTAAGAAATGAAGTTTCTGAAATTTGGCTGAAATGTGAAGCCATTTGGGTTAGTTTGTTGAACAAGGATACAAAGATTGGGAATCACAATGCCCTACTGTAATGTCATTTTAAAAATTAGTTCTACCAGCCCTGGAGTCAGGAGGACCTGAGTTCAAATCAAGGCCTCAGACATTTGACACTAGCTGTGTGACCCTGGGCAAGTCACTTAACCCTGATTGCCTCACAAAATAAATAAATAAATAAATAAATAGAAGTTAGGTCTGCCTACTATGAGCCTAGAGAGTGCTTGTAATAGTACATTGTTTAGCTGGCCATGCTGTAAGAGAGAGGCTGTCTTTTTTTTTTTTTTTTTTTTGTGAGGCAGTCGGGGTTAAGTGACTTGCCCAGGGTCACACAGCTAGTGAGTACCATGTGTCTGAGGCCGGATTTGAACTCAGGTCCTCCTGGCTCCAGGGCCAGTGCTCTATCCATTGTGCCACCTAGCTGTCCCTGAGGCTGTCTTTTTGGTTGCTGGATTCCTGGCCCCTGTGGCCCCTGAGAGGTGACCCAGAGTGAATGCTTGAGTCTCTGATTTCAGGATGCGGGACAAAGGCAAGGTTAAACCTCCTCCACCCAAAAAGCCAAAGGTCCAGATGAGACATCAGAAACAGGAGATGCCGCACTCCGTGTCTTTGCAGGTGAGGACAATGTGACGGCCCTGCCTCCTGTGGGCACATTCTTATCACTTGTTATCTTAGAGAAAAGCAGGACTTCGGGGCCGGGCTGCAGCCATCTTTTCGGAGTCCTCCTTCCAGTAAGGAGGGTCCTTTCTGGGGGTGCTGGGGGAAGGTGTTGCAGGAAGAGCTGCAAGAGGGCCCAGGATTGGTGTTGGTTCCAATGTCACTGTGCTCCTGCCAAGCTCATTAACAACCTCCCCTCTCTACAGATTCTTGGGAAGAGTCTTTCCTTCAGATCATGGCCAGGCTCTGGCCTGACATTGCTGAGCTGATGAAGTAACAGTCTGACCTGTGTCTCCAAGTCCCAGACACACACATCTGCCTTGTCCCTCAGGTTTAGGTTTGCTGCCTGTAGGTGTGGGGCACTCACAAAAATCCTCTTTTTCTCAGCAGTGGTAGAGAGATGATAGGGTTCTCTTTGAGGTATCCTGTCTGAAAATTCTTGAATGGAGTTTAGCTTAGGAAAACTTATTGGTGAACACTGCATTCTTTGGATGGCTAAATAAAGGTGAGATTCACATCAGTTCCTTTTTGCTTCCTTCCCTTTCTCCTGTAGGTGCCAAAGAAAAAGGCTAAGGGAAATAAGTCAGAAATTCGATTCAACCAGCTGGTCGAACAGTACAAGCAGAAAATACTAGGACCCACAAAGGGAGCGCCTTTTGGAAAGAAGAGCAAATGGTTTGACACTTAACCGTAGCAGCAAATTGCATTTGCTACATTGCAGAACGTCCTGTCTGGTAGTCTGGTGTTTTTCATTGTAGGAAACAGATGATGGACTGCCAAGGGGGGCACCTTCTTAGCCCTGAACTGGACACCTCTGGACAACAGGACCTCTCTCTGAGGTCTGATAGCCACAGAGAGAAATGTCAGAAAGATGTGATAATCATTTTGTGTTTATATCCAGATTGTTCTGTGGAGCTGTATCTCATTGTTCCATATTTATTCTTGTTTCTTGAGTGGAAACAATTGTAAAAAATTTCTTCTCATGACAACTTTTACTATGTGTATTTTGATAAGTATCCTGTCTCAAGGGAAAACTTTTGATGTTTTTAAAATAACAGATCATCATGCTATTCATGAACCATCATGATATCCTTGTGTCTGATTGCACAGCCTTTGTATGCTGAATATGTAGAGCTGGCCAGATAAGAGCAGAAGGGATTGAAAGTGGAAAGCAGTGCTCTCCGATCTCCTAGGATTGCCCTCAGTATGATCTGTAGGTGAACGCAGTGGCCCAGTAGGCTTATCCTACCCATTGAGAAGTGCTGCCTTTCCTGGCACTCTTCAAATGCACCTTTTTTTTTTTTTTTTTTTAAGGCAATTGGTGTTAAGTGACTTGCCCAGGGTCACACAGCTAGTAAGTGTTAAGTGTTTGCTCTGAGGCCAAATGCACCTTTTTGAGATGTGATTATAAACCATATGCCACAACTTCTCAGTATCTTTTGGGAGAGACGTATGAGGCACCAACTTGCCACCATGGATTGTCCCAAATCATAGATGTATGTGGCCCTTAAAATTATAGTAAGTAATCACACAAAGGGGGAAGGAAAGGAGCAAAGTTTTGAGGACTGTGTCTTCAGAGTCTCGAAGTATGGGAGAAATTCTTAATAGTCTGGGGCAGGGGAAAGAGATAATGTGATAATGAGTTTAAAAAGTGCTACAAATATTGGAAAATACCCTGGAAGCATTCCTGGTACCCCAGATACTTCAGACTTAGCCGCTATCTTAACCTCCTACAGGCTCCAAGTTTTCACCACAATCTGTCAGGGAATATTTTCCATGCTAATAATGTTTTTATTTTATAATGTCGGTGGGAATGTTGGGTTCATTTTTGGGAAGTTTAATTTATAGTTACCTTTGATGGATATGATTATCCTTAATGTAGGAGATGGCTGTGTTTATGCTCTAAAAGGTGCTGAAAATGAGTGTTGACAACCTTTACCCTGAGTGAGTGAAGAAGGGAGTTTGATTATGTAACATGAATATATACTTGCATAAATACATTGTCTATTTAAAAAAAAAATTTTCTGCTGAGGAAACAGAGCTTTCTGCATTGCTTGTTTCCATTGACCCTGAACTTTCTGCATTTCTTGTCTACATAGGATTCTATTTGACTCAACAATTAAGTGACTTGAAGAAGTCAGCTGATTTCAGACGTTTCCTATAATTAAAATTTGTATCTTTGCCAGTGCCCAGCATAGTGTTTTGCACACAGCAGTCCGTTAAGTGTTTATTGAATGAGTGAATGACTCTCCTTCTCTGTGATGGAGCAGTATTTCTACGCCTACCTCCCAGGGCTTGTTTTATTGACCTGTCTAATGGCCAGATCTAACTGGGGTGGGAGCAGTGGAACTCCTGCTCAGCTCCTCCCCTCCCAGTGTCAAATCCTGGGCAAACTAATGAACAACTCTAATTTTATTTTCAAGCTAACATGGTAGACATGTGAAAAAAGTTAAATGATACAATTACAATTGAACTATTTATAATTATTCTATCTCAGTGTTTAACCACGTCAAAGCAAATAGCTGGGAAAAAGTTTCCATGCCAGAGCTTTCTGTGGGTGGGCTAAAAATGGAGAAATAAGAAAGAGGAATGAGGCCTTAGGGTAGGCAAGAGCAGCCAACTAGCAATCAGTCTGCAATATGTCCTAGAGGACAAACTGGCTTGTCCTTTTATGCATTACTTTATGGCAACCCTTTGTATTATGTTAATAAAATATATCTACTGAAGAAGTCTTTATTTTGTCTCAGGCAGCTAGATGGGGTAGTAGACAGAACACCAGATTAGAGTTGGGAACATCGAGCTGAAATCTTGGCCTTAGACACTAGCTGACCTTGGGCAAGTCACTGAACCCATCTGCTTCATTTCCTTCCTCTGCAAAATAGAGATGATAATAGCAGCTTCCTCCTGAGGTTATTATGAGGATTAAGTGAGATAATACGTGAAAGGTGCTTTGTAAATCTTTAATTGCTATGTAAATGCTATTACTATTTTTTAAAGGTTCATTCTAAGGAGAAAAGCAGAATTTCTTAGGTTTGTAGGACTGAAAGAGACTTTGATCCTTTTAGTTCCTGTTTCCCGTTTTTGAGCATTTCCCCAGCCCCACTCCCTCAACATTCTATATGTGAGAATATGTAATCCTAAAAGGTTGTATCTGTTTTTGAGGAACTTCCTTTGGGTCCCTCCATAACATATTTCAGTGTTTTTCATTATTTCAGTGTAACTTTTCAGAATGACCCTTAAGTCACCTTTAGCTGAGGCAACTTTTCTCTATTTCTGGGGGTAAGGAGAAGGCAGTGGGTAACAGAGACCCACAGTGTTCGAGAAAAGAGACTTTGGAGAGGCCAATCCAGTGTTATGCACCTTGCTTTCAGAACTATTTCAGACCTAGCAGTGTGGTGTCAGAAGCCAGTGAGAATGTTAAAATGACCTTGGCAACATGGAGAAGAACTCTGGGTAAGAGAGGCCAGGGACCAAATCTCAACGGCAACCCTGGAAATATAGAAAAGTTGGAGTGTTTCAAATCTACTCACAACTTATTGGCCATTATTTCAGCTTGGATGCCTAGGAGGGTCCACACAACTCACAGGATGTAATTTTCTTTATAGTAAGGGATCATGTCTGGATTGTCAGGGTCGTCTTCAACCAGCTTGTGGGTTCACAGTGTTTCACTTCTTGAGTTTCTCCATGGCTGGTCTGTGTATCTCTTAGCAGACATTCTCCCGACAGTGAATGAAAATAATTTGCCTTCGCAGTCTCCCATTTTATCCAGGGATTGGTTCATAGTGAAGGACATGGCGTATGCTACTTTGAGACAGTGTGTATGAAATCACACAGATACGCACCCTCTGGTTATAAATTCCTCCTCCAAGCCTCTTCTATCTCTGGATCAATGGTCCTAGGATTCTTTTTTCCTCTTTTACTGTAACCATTTTGTCTCCATTTTTACCTTTATAACTGCTGTTATTTGGATGTATCAGTGGTCCCCATGGGTATTGCTTAGCCCAGTCTGATGGCTTTTGGAGCTAGAGAGGTTGCTAAAATGCCCTTTTGCTACCAGAAAGGCTTGTTGCCCCTGTGTGCAGGACTGGGTGATGGAGTCCACTGGCATTAGAAGTCTTAGATGCAAGAAACTCAGTGATTAAAACTCAGCACTGAAATCTCCTTTTCTCTTTTTTGCTGCTTCTGTGTCCTCAAGCTGACACCACATCACCAGCATGCTCCTCTTAATTAAAAAAATCCTTTTAACATCCTTTTAATGAGATTTTTTTTCTTTCTGATGCCACTGTGGAAAAGAAATCTTACAACTCCCGTTCCAGGGTGTGGAAAACTTTCCACGCCACACTGAACCTCAAATAGAGGCAGGAGCCCAGAACAGTTTTACAATGTCATTCTTGCTGTTGGGGAGTTATGGAGACTTGCTTTTCAATCAGAAAATAATAATAATTTAAAAACCCCAACAAACACCCCTACTGTTACTGCAGGAGCAATAGTGATTAGGCCCAGCAGGGTGTAAAGCTGGGGAGCACTCACAGCACTCTCTCCAGCAGGGCCCCTGGGGAGGAGAGCAAGCCTGCTTCACTTCAGAGGTGAATTAAAAACCAAAGTGAGACAAGAGCTAGCTTTTGAAAATGAAGTGTTTATATGCTACAAAGCATGCTGAATCTTTAGTTAGAGGTCCTGAATTTGAATCCTGGCTCTGCCACTTACCACCTGGGTGACCTTGGGCAAGTCACTACCTTTTTGGGCCTTGGTTTCTTCATCTGTCAAATGAGAGGGTTGGACCACCAGATCATCTTAAGGTCCCTTTTAACTCTCAATCTTAAAGGACTGGCTGACTATTGATGGTGGCTAAAAAAAAAAAAAATTCCAATAAGACAATCGGCAAACTCCTGACACTGACCAGGCATTGGCAGTTTCTCTTGGTAATTTCATCTCCTTCCTATTCCCAAAGGACAGGGCTTTGCTACCTCTGTTTTGACTGTCGGTCCCTCACTGTTGCCTTTCCCATGGACTTCATAACCTGCCTATCTGTGACTTCCTAACCTTCATAACCCTTTCTGTTTGTCCAGCCTTCTTTAAACTTTAGGCCTGTCCATAGACCGTGATCCAGAAGCACTGACTTTCTTGCAGTTCCTCCCGCAAGACCACCCTAGGCCTTTTTGCTGTCTCCATTCTCATCTGTGCCTCCTGGCATCTTTCCAGAGGCCCTTCCCCATCCCTCACCCCCATCTGCTAATGCCCCTCTTCTGAGCTGGCCTCCTTTCTTCTACTCTGTATGTATCTTGTATGCATGTAATTCTTTACATGTGTTTCCCCCATTTAAATGTATTTTCTTGGATGGCAGGGATCGTTTTTGCCTTTCGCTGTATCCCCAGATTATACCTCAATTCCTGGCACAGCACAGTACCAATATAAATGCTTATTTGCTAACTATTGAGACTAGAACCCAATTAAAAGTTGACTTCCTGTTTTGCATAACTGTACATGTATAACCTATGTTGAGTTGCTTGCCTTTTCAATGAGGGTGGGTGAGGAGGGAGGAAGGGAGAAAATTTGGAACCCAAAGTTTTAAAAACACGTGTAAAAAAAATGTTTTCACATGCAACTGGGAAATAAGAAATACAGGAAATGGGGTACAGAAATCTATCCTGCCCTACAAGAAAATAGAAGGGGAAGGGGATAAGAGAAGGGGGGAAGAAATAGAAGAGAAGGCAGACTAGGGGAAGGGGTATTCAGAATGCATGCCATCTTGGGGGAGGGGTGAGATTGGGTGAAAATTTGGAACTCAAAATCTTGTGGAAGTAAATGTTGAAAACTAAAAATAAATAAATTTATTAATTAAAAAAAAAAGACCAAGGTCAAAAAAACAAAAGTTGGCTTCCTGGCTCTGGAGAAATTTAGAGAGTTTAGGTGCAGGGGATATTATATACAAATAAAATGTTTTGGGATCTCTGAAAACACTGATCCTTCTATGATATATGAACAGAACCAAAGAACTGGTGGTGTGCTTCTCCAGCAACCCCCTGGATGGTCTTGTGATATAAAGCTAAATGGTCGCCTTATATGTAACTTGTAGGGGTATTCACCAGGCTCACTACTTGACTCCATGTAATCAGAGGATGTTAGATTTACAAAGCTTTCCATGTAGCGGGAGGGTTGCCACTATAAAGAATGAGGAAGGAACTGGGTTTGTTGATCTGGCTAGAACTGGAGGATGTGGAGGTTTTCTACATTTTGATTAGCCTGTGAGAGACCAGGGGAAAAGCTAACACCAAGCCTATCACAAGAGTTGCATCTTTATTCCTTCCAGTTACCCACCCATAAACAGTCACAGAATAGAGGGAATTCTGTGTAAGAGGTGGATGTGGGAGGAGATTGTGTTCAGGGGATTGTGTAAGGGGAATGCCAAGTTCCCATGTGATATTCCACGTCTATCTCCCAATTGCAAAGGAATGTAGAGAGTCTTCAAAGACAGAACAGTCTGGTCCATTCAAGGGGTGGGAGGAGAAGAGTTCTGAAGGACTGGGGGAAAGGTTCCCTGCAGAGAACAACAGAACCACATAAAGGGAGAGGTGAAGCAGTAACTGGACTCCTCCCACTTGCTTCCAATCAAGGCCCCAGGTCTCTAGGGAGCCAAGGAGGGAATACCCAGGCTTGGACTAAGTTCACCTTCTGGGAGTTTTTTTGATTGGACAGGTGTTCTGGCTTGGAAAACTTGCCAGTAGTCAAAGTCTCCATATTTTCTGGGCTGCTGGCTCTAAAGAAGACAACAAAAAATCTTAATAGATGAAATCCATTGAAAATGGGACCCAAGGGGCAGCTAGGTGGTGAAGCAGATAGAGCTCCAGCCTTGGAGTCAGGAGGACCAGAGTTCAAATCCAACCTCAGATACTTGACACTAGCTGTGTGACCCTGGGCAAGTCACTTAACCCTGATTGCCTCACCGAAAAAAATGAAAATAGGACCCATTTCCTTCAACATTATGCTCTTTTCTTCCTCTGTCCTCTTCCTCCCAAACCCCATTGCCTGCAACAATTTGACATTTACCTTGGCATTAAGAAATCCTGATCTGTTTATTCAGTGACATGCCAATCAAACTCATTCAAAAATTATTTTATAGAGCTAGAAAAAATAATAATTCATCTGGAAGAACAAAAGCTCAAGGATATCAAGGGAATCAATAGAAAAAAGTGTTAAAGAAGGTGCCTGTACCAGATCTCAAATTGTATTATAAAGTCGTAACTATCTAAACAATCTGAATTGGCTAAGAAATAGAGTGGTGGATCAATGGAATAGATTAGGTACAAATTACATTATAGTAGATGACCATAGTAATCTAGTATATGATAAACCCAAAGATCTAAGCTAGTAGATGATTTGACAAAATTCATTATTTGACAAAAACTGCAGGGAAAACTGGAAAATAGTATAGCAGAAACTAAGTATAGATCAATACCTCACACCATATACCAAGATAAGGTCAAAATGGGGACATGATTTACACATAAAAGGTAATACCATAAGCAAATTAAGACAGCATGGAATAGTTTATCTGTCATTTATGGACAAGGGAAGAATTTAGGACCAAAGAAGATATAGAAAGCATTATAAAATGTAAAATAGATAATTTTGATTGTATAACATCTAAAAATTTTTGCATAAACAAAACCAATGCAAACAAAATTAAAAGGAAATCAGAAAACTGGGAAAAAATTTTGCAACAAGG